AGTTTTCACTATGTCATGACAGCTCTGCTGTTTGTTAAGGCAGATACTGCTTTCCACAAAATGAACTGGCTGACCAATGTGCAACTTCCACCAGATCCCAGGTTTAGCTTCTGAATAGCTAACATGCATTTTTATAGCCCTTCCACTCAAGAGATGTCAAAACATTTGACAACCTTTGCTTCTAGGTATACTCCCAGAGGCAGAGGCGAATGCATCAGAATAACTCGTTTACCTTTTCCCCCTCTATGTAAAAATTGTTTTTAGGATTGCCACTGCAACAGTTCTTAGCCCATATCTGTTCCCTGGGGTAACTTTCATTATAAAACTTATAGTTTGCCCCACTTCGAACTTAGTTGGTGTATTTGGTGAACTAACTGTGACAACTGCATATTTTATATATATATATACACATATATGTACACACACACACACACACACACACACACACACGTATATATCCATGTGTGCATTCATGTATGCACACAAACGCACACAAGAATTAACCCATAAAGACTTACTTATTCCTGTGTCCTTCCAGTACTGGAGCAGACAGTGCCTCATGGCTCTAAGCAAGCGGTTATATTCTTTAATGTTAACAAAAGCCTGCTTATTGTGTGTGGGCTCCATGGCTTCCAAGGGCATGTTGACCATCCCTACTGCACCAGCACCAAAACTAAAGGAACAAAAATCGAAGTATTTTAAATATGATGAATAAGATAACAATTTTCATTGCAGTTACCCATTAAACACTTTGGAAGTGGGAAGATATTATTAATGGAAAACTGTGGGTGTAGAATCTTGCCTGACTACAGTCACAGACAGAATGATCATTATATTACTTCCATTCAAATGAGTGCAGGATATACATCTCAGAAGTACTAGATTTTAAAATGCAAAGACAGATGACAAGGGAAAGAAATGGGATGGCAGAGTATAAAAAGAGGAGTGCTTATGTACCAGTAAACACTCAGAGAAGTGATCAGAAACTCTGAGTTGCAATAACAGAGTAAAAAAGAGTGAGTTGCTATAAAGATTATTTTGAGAACTGCAGACCCACATAGAGAACAATTTATTCCTCCCTTAATAAAGGCACTTAAATCTTCAGAATACTAATAATCCCCATCCTGGACATTCTTTGAAAGGAAATAATCACTCTGGGTATGAGATCTGGTTTTCAAAACTTATTTTGACATTCAGAATATCTAAAACTTTATTTCAAGTATGCAGTTTTAAAGCTGGCTCCTTAAAAAATATAAAATGCAAACATACCAAGAGTCTGGTTTTAGTTGAGGTCCCAACTTTTCATACATTTTGATCAACCGATTGTTGCTATAGATAAGCATTCCATCTTGACTTCTGTTCCCTATGTTTATGCCAAATATTAAATAGAGCTTCTTTGGCTTTCTCAGTTCTCTAAGACAGGAAAATGAGCAGGCAGTTAGTTTTATAGGTTTTGCCTTGTTTGTTTTTAAGTGTTTGCCAAATGCAAAGTAACGGCTACTGCTACCAGATTAGTACCTACAGATTCAACAGTTTAATTTATCAAGAATTATAAATGATAAAAAGTTGCAATCAATCACAAAAACATTTAAATATTTAAAGGTTGGCATGACCCTTAGATGCTGAAGTGAAGTCAGAATACTGCTGAGGGTGAATGTAATCTGCCTTTAATGCTTCCTTGACATTCACCACCTAGTTGCCAGTGGGGGGAAGGGGGAGATTTCCTGTTTAGAATTAAACAAGCCTTTTAATCAACTGCAGCTGAGACATGCTGATCTAATACACTGCAACGAAAGCACTGCTTACTCAGCTCCAAATTAAGACTAGAGCCATTGCTATGAAGACATTAATGATAATCAATAAAAACAGCTTAGTATATTTTTCACTACATTTGAAAAGTATTTACCAAGTTAACTTGGTACCTGATTTTGTTTCCTAAATATTTTTTTAATTACCTTATTGCAATCATCGTCAACAGCTTTTCACACCACAAGCAAATAAAAAGGGCAATTCCTTCCTTGTGTAATTTTATTTACATATTTGCAGGCTGCAATATCCACTGTCTCTTGCAGATGAAAGGATGCCAATTGTTTGTGTCTATATTCTTCACGTTTCCTTTCTCCAGATACTGGAGAAATACCATTTGGTTGCAGAACTTTCTAGAGGGAGCTTAGTGACCCTCAGTATGAACAAGGAGAATAAACTAACATAAAGCATATTTTTGGAAATAGCATTGGGAGTGGAAATTTTGAACACTACTCTGAGAACTACTACATGATCATTAACTGCTCACCACTACTTGTATACTACAGTGCTCATCATGATCAGAAGACAAGCTTTCTACATTTAAAGGGCTACAAGAAGCCCATATACAGCCATGTAATTACAATTTCAAGAAGCATAGGGATGCCTCCCTTGAAGCAGGCCTTCACATAAGCCAGACAGTGTATATTGTTACCCAAGTAGCCTCACTCTGTCAGGGATTTCAATACCTAAAATTGTTACTTTCAGAGAAACTATTAAGTATTAGGTAATACTCATTTCATCTGTTGGATAGCATGAAAAATATAACAAGCATTTAGACAAATTAGAGAAGAAAATTCTCTTCTGTAAGATTTAACAAAATTTAAATGCCAAGAAAATGATCCTCCACAGGATTGGTTAAAAAAATTTCAGAAAAGAATAAAATATTGAAACACTTACAATAATTTAGAAGCACCATGAAAGAAGAAAGAGTAGATACAACTTAAGAAAACATCATGCAAGAATCAGCCTATAGATCATGCCTGGATTCACAACAGAGTTAAATCACTTATCCTAAAATTCTGCTTAAATATGTTCATATCTTGCCTTTGTTTCACTTCAAGCTTCTCATGCATTCTTTTTGCATTTTCTAGAGCATCCTGTAATGCAAGATGAGCAGGCTTTTCCATTTGGGGGGAAAGAGGAGGAAAAGGTTACTTTTCATTCATGTAATGCCCTAAGTATAAACTTCACTTGTTTTTGAAAAGTCAAATATGGCCTTCCAGTGATTGCAAGCCTTCCAATGGGTGCAAGACTTGACTTGAGCAACTCAGAGGCAAATCATAAAATGTCATTGTGGGGGCACAAGACTGGAGGACCAATTAAAGGAATATTTCTACATTTTTTAACGAGTATTGTGTGTACAAATATAAGGCATTATTATTGCTTTTGAAGTTAATGGGGAGTATCTTAAAACATTTTCTTGGAGGAGGAACTTAAGTTGATACTAATACAACTAGGCATTATATCTTTTTAAAATTTCTCATCATCAGTAAATATGTACTTAACAGAAAAATAGTACAGTTGATTTCTTTTGCTGCTTAATATTATTACTAGGCTACATTTCAGAGGGCTTTTATTAAGGGTGTTCCTAGCCTATATTTTTGAACAATGACATTAAAAGGAAGCCACCCTGGTTGATTTTCCACACTAATACCTGCAGTCCAATGAAATGCAGGTTGCTATGGAGCACCAGCTATAAAAAGCAACATTTCTGAAACCATTACACAAATGCTGTCTTTGCTACAGTACCTCATTGTCTTCATGCAAAAAGAATTCTTCCAGATGTTTTAATTGACACTCAGCTTCTTTTACAGCTTGTTCAGCTAGAAAGCATATGCAAAAAAAATGCTTAAAGTAAGGCTCAAAGATGTTATAGATATTTACTTCAAAAGAAAGAAAAAAACAACTTTATTCAGTATTCAGTGAATTACATAATAAGTTGTAACTATCAAAAGCAAAGATTCTTAACAAGGGTGCTTCAGCACCCTGGGATGCCTTGAGACAAGGCAAACATGATTCACAAGATAAATCCAGATATTTCTAATACAAAGTCAATGCAATATGTATTTAACAACAGTGTTAAAACATGTTGGAATCTTTCTGAGTTCTCTGCA